ATGTTTTATCCATTTTGTAGGCACATAGGTAAAAACTACCATTTTACAGAGATTGATGGCATCACAAAATTTCTAATGGAATCCCCAGTGATTTGCCAGCACAACTTGGACATCCCTGCTTGTCCCCAGTTGCCAAGTTGCACGAGTCTTTCTGGCTCAGCTTGCTGGATCTGCAAGTCATTCTGGGCGACTTTGACCAACTCCCTCCAACGATCCAATCTGCTAGCCCTCGTTCTGTAAACCGGCTCATCGCGCTCAGCATTGATCTCGGCAAGGCGCCTCTCATTGAACCTGGGCATGTGAAAACGAAAGACTATGACAAATTCATGACTCACATCTATTTAGCACAGTTATATATATATAGTGTATAAATATTGATGGATATTGATACATATTGATACATTTTGTATATAGATGTATTTACATGATTATGTATATATAATTACGATTAGTTATGTATGCATGTAGAATTATATAACTCTACAGGTAGTTACAAATACATGATATATACATTATGTATATATATATATAATTATATATATAATTATATATATAATATTAATTAATATTATATATATATGTATATATATATATATGTATATATATTATATGTATACTTGAAGGCCTTCAAAGAAACATCATTCTCAAAAACAGCCTTTGGTTTCCTTGATTGAGCATGATCGAGCCATCAACAATGCAAACCGAGATGCTGGTGCTAATTCAATTTTTTCGCCGCCCTTCTGCAGTTCCTCGGGTTGGGTATGAATTGCAGGTCAGACCCTCCGCGAGCAGCTCGGAGCTTGACAATGAGGCGGAACAATGCATTCCACACACATCCTCTCATCTCCATGGCTTCGAGAAGGGAGCTTGGAAGGTCATCTCCATGCTTTGCCCGGCCTTCAACTTGCGGGCTGTTTTGCTCCATTCCGAAGGGCTCACTTGAAACTTTGCTTTCGCACAGAGCCCTGAGCTGGTCTGCATCAGCCTCACCCGACAAATCATCCTGTGCACCCAAGGTTGCCTCACCCAGGTCAGCTTGATGGTCAAGCGTTTCAATTGGGTCAAAGAGCTGAGCAATGACTTGAGCACATCCGCTATTCTCAGTGCCACTCCTTTCCTCCGGCTTGCCGAGCTTCTCCATTTGCTCCTGCAATTCTTCATCCTCCTCCTGATCCAAGGCTGCAAAGGAAAAGATGTCACCTTCTTCGCAACGCCTGCGGTAGGTCGCTTCCAAGTCCTCAATGCCAACCTGGCTACATCTTGCCACCAACAGCAATGCCCCACGTAGAGCACGTTCACAACATTTCTGGAACCTGGAAAGGGAAAACGCTTTGGAAACCTTTGGGCATGCATGGAAATAGAAACATGAGAAAGAATCACTAAGAATTCAAAAAAATAGATAAGGATAGATAAGGAATGATAAGGATAGATAAGGAATGATAAGGATAGATAAGGTATGGCAAAGACTGACAAAGATACATAAAGTATCATAAAGTATAGTACAGTATAGTAAAGTTGCTGCTCCTTGTAAAATGGTTGGAATGGACTTACCCTGTAAAATGGATCAAAATGGATCAAATATATATGATCAAGTGGGTTCAGGTGAATTAAAATAGTTGGTCTTGCTCACTTTTCTATGTGTCATGTGCATGCATGTGCTCCATTGTGCCCCCTCATTCCCTTGATATTGGCAGCAAGAAACTGTTCGTCCGTCAAAGGATCTTCTCCAGTTTTGCTGGCATCCGGGAAGTTGTTCTTGGCCTTGTTGAGCTCATCACTGACCTTGATTGCACGTCTTGCTGCAGCAATTGGCCGCGCAGCTGGCCAAAGAACTGCTCTACCGCTATCTCTGATAGGCGTCCTTCACCATGTTTCCATGGTGCGAACCCTTTGGGTTTCGCACAGGAAATTGCAACCGTGGCGAGGGCAGAACCCTGTAAATTCCACATAGTTTGACCCGACATGAAGGTCGAGCCTGTGGGTAAACCCAGCTCTGCTGAAATCTGAATTGACAGCATCCTGAACATGTCCAGGGCCAAGAAACCAGCAAGGCTGGCTTCACACCTTTGAGCCAAGGACAGATCCTTGTGTGTCACTGGGCTCGTGCAAAGACTGACCACCAGATTGTGGACTGTCATGCCCTTGTTGCACCAGGGCACATGGAGACTTGACAATGGCCCATCCTCGTGGGTTTTTGTTGTGCCAACAAGTGGGAGGTGCTGGCTGGCAAGTCCCCAAGCACATCCAAAAACAGCAAATCATAAAGCATCACAAACGTCATCAAAGATCACTAAACTGTACTAAACCAAATGAAACCAAAAAAAAATTCAGAAGACCATTCAAACATATTCAAACACAGTATCATCAAATTTCAAAATTCATCAAAATCTGCAAGAACATTGACTAGTTGCTGCCGACTCAACCAGAAAGAAGGGATTGTTGATCAAAGCGTTTAGCTTGTCACTCATGGGGTTGGTGCGGGCATATGCACTTGGCGGTAGGCCGTTCTGCCGAAGGCCTGTTGGGTCTGCCCACAATCTGCCGTACATGCAGCAACGCAGCAAGCTGTTCAATTGCCCAGCTGCGTTCTTTGAGGAATGGCCTAAGTCGTCAGAAATTATTCCTGTAAAATGGTAAACTCATATACCTCCTCTATATTCTTCTATAGTATGGTTATACCATGTTATACCATACCAATCCCTACCATTCTATGCTATATCTGTACATGTCTGTCCGTATCTATCCATGAGCACACATACCGATGCACATCGAAGTTGATCTGTTGCAACCTATTCTTTTTTAGAGCCCATGGATGCCCATGGTTACATGTTGAAAAAGATTGGCATATCCATTTTACAGGAGTTGGTTCTTGAGTTTCCATTTTACAGAGGGAAAAAATTCACACAGCTGCAGCCAAAGTTGCACGGTCCGCACATTGCAAAGAACGGCTGGTCTTCATGCAAGGCTATTTGGAGGGGCAGCCTTGGCAAATTGTGTTTTGGCAAGGGCCGGTAGGTCAATTTTGAAAAGAAGGGTACCTTCTCCAAGTGGTCGAGATTGACGTCATCAGTTTGCCCATGGAGCAGCTTCCTCACAAATGAATGTGAGGAGTGAGCATCGAAGCAAACTCCAAGTACCACCTTGTGGGCATAGGACAAAAACCTGCCCACCACCTCCAGCATTGCCCAGTTTGCCTTCAGAGATCCATGTACACCATTGCCTCCAAACGAATGATCCATGGGCATGGAAGCCACGGAGAAGGGTGTCTTGCGCACGGCACAAGGGTCATACACCAAGAATTCTAACATCGTCGATGCTCGAGGTATGTTTTTGACCTCAACTGCATCGTCCATGTCGATGAAACAAGCCTCTTCAGCACCTGGTGCCCATACACCCCCGACCAAACCATACTTGTTGTGGAGCTGCAACTGGCAAAGCGCCGGTGAAAGGTACGTTGCATCAAAGCAGCACCAGAGCCGGCCTAACTTCAAGTGTTCAAACTTTTCAACCCAAACTATCTACCAAATAAACGCCCTGCAGTCCCCTGGGCATATCATCATCTATGGCTGGATATGGATAGATATGGCTGAAACATTTGGCAAGCAACGCTTCAGTGAGTACGGCTTCACGTTGAAGCGCTGGTCGAGAAGATTGCAGTTCTCCCGCATCACTTCATCCCATATCAGTGCTACTGCTGGACATGGTATGCTCATTCCATGCAGGTCATCAAGTTTGGTCCTGATGTCGCCTCGAATGCCAAACCTTGGTGGAAGAATGTTGAAGATGGTTGAACATGGTTCAACGAGGCACAATAGTTTTGTATACTGCATTCTCATGCTTTCCCTAGGAACGGTATAGGGAATTATAGGGGTATATCGGGATATGGCAGGATAAAGAGGAACATAGCAAATATAAATATGATTAAAATTGAGTAATTATGTACATATATGAAATATGAATATATAATGATATATAATGACAACTATATATATATATAAATACGTATTAATAAATAGAATTAAAATGCATTAAAACTTATTAAATAGATTTAAATAGTCTCTCTTGTAAAATGGATCAAATTGCTATGGTGCTGTAAAATGGATAAATGGTGGTAATGGTGGATACAACTTTAGAAAAGAGGATACATAGGAAAACTATGGAAAATTCATGAAAACTTTGTGTGCCCATGGGATCTCTTACAAACAAATACTGTAATTACATTGATATTACATGTAATATCAAATTAATATTATGTAATTACAAAATGATACAAAATGAATCAAACTGATACAAAATGAATCTAAATGAATCTAAATGATACAAAATGAATCAAAATGATACAAAATGAATCTAAATGAGTCAAAATAATTCAAAATGAATTCAAAATGAACCAAAATGATCCAACATGAATCAAACATAATCAAACTGAATCAAGCTGATACAAGAGACTGCTTGCCCAGCTTTCCGTTGCCAGTCGCCATAGCCAAACGCATCCCTGCGTCAGCCACCAGTGCAAATTCTCGCTCAGTGCGGTCTTTGCTGGGGCGGCCAGCCATCGTCTCGACTCCCCTCTTTTGCTTGTCCATCAAACGGAGGCAGGCAAGAGCCATCCCCTCCAGAAGAGGGTTGCTTTCAATGCTTCCATCCAAGGCAGCCGCGGCCAGCTTCAGCTTGGACAGTTCCGCATCATTGACATCCCGGCTGGCTATCATGGCCTCAAAACGGGCCGCGACATCTTGGAAGCACCCCTCAAATGAACTGACGTTGCACCGGAGTGTGGGTTTGACCACGGTAGTGAGGAAGTCCAAGCATTGCGGGGTGACTTGAGTTGCATTGGTGTGCGTCCATGTGGCACGTACCAGCTGCTGTAAATGGTGGTTTGGAAGCTTCAAGACTTTCTCTGCTTCCTTGGGGTCAGAACGAAATGCTGCTGATTTTCGCACTTCCTCTTCCACCAACTCACGTGCTTCAGCTCCCTGAAAAAGTCTGGCATTCAGGAGCTTGGCCCAGAGGTACTTTTGAGTGAAGCGGGTCACATTTCTCACCACTGATCTCTTTCCAGAACCCAAGTGGATGCACTCCGGACATGTCTGCCAATCTTCCTTTGTCTTTTCCATGTTTTGATCACAGCCCGAGGATCGTATGATCCAACCAGCACCATTTGGCTCTTGCCAATAGGAGTGCGTTGCCAAGCTCTCCAAATTTGTGAAGGCAGCCCATGTGGAAAACTCAGTGCGCATGTAGTAAAGTAGGCCACCAGAGATGGAATTTTTGACTTGCAAGCCCTGACACGGGACGATTTCCTTCTGATTCTGTGGCTGTCCTTCTTTCTCAAAAGCTGCCAATTGTTCAATGTGCTTTTGTGTCCTGAAATGCTGTCCCAGATAGTACTTGGCCGCAGAAACTTTGGGCTCCACCAAGTCGCCTACTTTGCCATCCACTTGCCGCCGGGTGCGGCATAGCCGACAACGGTAAGGCAATGTCTTGCCGAACTTGCCTGGTTCGAGAAGCTCAATGTGTGGAGCAAAGGATTCCACATACTTTCTCCATGCATCTGGTGCTTCTGCGTCAGTGGCAGCAGGCCCAACATTGGCCGCAGCGCTAGCGTCAGCAGCAGGCGTCTCTGCCTCATCCTCCTTGGCAGGCTGGTCAACAGAAGATTTGCTCTGAGCGATTGCAGCGTCAATGGCATTCTTTAGGGATGGTCCGGAGAACTCGTACTGGTTCAATGCAGTCAGGCAGGCTCCGCACTCAACTTTCCGCTCAGACATGTCCTCAATCAGCATCTTTTGGAGGTCCACGTAGCCACCAGTGCCACAGATGTAGAGCTTCTTCATCGGAGCGAGCCTCACGATGTCGGGATCAGTTGGGAGGAACCATGGACATTCAAGGGCCAGCATAAGTCGGCACACTCCATCTATATATATACATATATATATATACATCCAGAAATCACCAAATATAATCAAATATCATTAGACAAGTATATCATGTATATGCATGTATGATCATGTATTATCGTGTAGATTCTTGATGATTCTTGTAGATTCATATAGCTAAACAATGCTAAGCAGCTAACCAATCTCTTCTGTAAAATGGATCCCACATACAATTACCCTGTAAAGTGGATAACCACCTGTGGGAAGTGTCAAAAACTGCACCACCATACCTAATGATGAGTCCATATGATTCCAGCGAATCCTAATGATCAGCCACAACATACCTATACAATTCTATTCAATCCTATTCGTAAATGAAATATATTGAAATATATTGAAATATATTGAAATATATTAAATATCTTAAAATAATAATAAATTATATAAAATTAATTAAAATTATATAAAATTATCCTAAGCAAAATTTCTTAAACATTCTTAAACAATCCCTGCTGTAAAATGGTTTCCCCATATGATTACTATAAAATGGATACATCAATCATCATCAATCCCTTGCCTGGTGTGGATTTTCTGGTAGGCACCATATGTGAGGCCGATGTTTTGCAAGTACTTCTTGACAGTTCGCAGGGCCACAAGTGCCTCGCATTGCGCTGCCCTTCGACAAGTCCGTTTGTAAGTGTTACGCTTCTTGTTCCTCATGCAAGGGTCAAACTCTTCTTCATCTGCTCCAAAGATTGGCTGGATTTGCAAGTTCTCGGGTCCTCTGAGCCTCTTCTGTAGACTCTGGCGCACCTTCGTCATGATGGATGTTCACGGCAGCTCCGGCTTTGGCAAGAACTTGAGGTCTTTCTTGAGGTTTCCCAAAGCCAGTTGGTCGGCAAGACCGAACTCGTTTCGGGACCGTAGAGGGGTTGCCCGGCGTCTCTTGCAAAGGATTCTTGTTGGCCTTTTTTTTGGGTGTGGTTTCCGCAGACATCTTGGTCACCTTGCTCGGTCTGACTTCAGCATCATGATCAGATGGATTGTCCTTTGCCTTGCCATTCTCAGCCTCTAGTTGCTTTCCACTGACCTTCCCCCTGCCCTTGCCTTTCTTTCCCTTGCCCTTGCTGCTGATCGTGCCGGCCTCATTGTCGCTGACCTTGCCCTTGTCACTGACCTTGCCCTTGCCTTTGTCACTGACCTTGCCCTTGCCCTTGTCACTGACGTTGCTCTTGCCCTCGCCCTTGTCACTGACCTTGCCCTTGCCCTTGTCACTGACCTTGCCCTTGGCATTGTCGCCGGCCTCGTCCTTGTCAATCTGATCCCGTGGTGCCCTTGCATCAAGTGCATCAAACTCCCCCAAGGCCTGAAACAAGGTCTGCCAAGCGATGTTGGTGGAACATGTGGCCCACCTCGTGCTCAGCTCCTTAGTAGAGCGTCTTGGCTACAACAGGCTAACAAACCTGAACTCCTGTAGAATGGATATTTCACACACATTCACATTCCTGGTTTACAGACTGGTTCCTCCTCGATCCTATCACAAAAAAACGCACACAAGGAAAAACACATGCTAGAAGGAATGAAAAGAGCAATGGATGCTTGTAGGTTCCCAAAAGTGCTCATGCATGCTCATGCTATTTGGTTGTGGTCCAGGATTCAAGATACAGTAACGCTGAAAACATATGAAACAATACAGACAACAGCTCATTGAATAATATACGAGAATCATGGCGGAGTTTGCCGACATCATCCATCTGCAACTTCTTGCCAGCGTCAACAGCTTGCGGAGAACCTCTCTCCAAGGACAACATGCTCCATAGACCGCAATTGCCATCTGCAGGGACAAATTCAGGACACTCCAATTCAATCGGGCCATTGACAGCACCAGAGCATTGCTGATTATAAATGTTTTTTAAATACATATGCAGACTTTTAATGATTTTTATATTTATTATATATTATTGTAATATGTTGCAAGGTTAGCCCTGTAAAATGGTTAATTTTATGTTCCACCTATAGAATGGATAACTATGGACAACTTATATCCTTTAATGTACAACCTCCAGCTGTACCAAGCCCAGCTATGCCCAGTGGCAATGCGTTCTGCGCAAGCAGGGTCTGCCTTCGGTTCTTCGGAGCTTGCTCTCTGCAAGGGTTGTCCTGGCTTGAGTTGACCAAATCAAAAAAAATGGAAAACTACAATGGAGAATATCAATAAATATCAATAACACACATATGTATACATATATATACATATATATACATATATAATATATATATAGAGAATATTATATTTATATAGTTATATATATATAATTATATATATATATATTACGCATAGAATGCATAGACTAGCTAGGTCTAAGATAGGTGCTAGAGGGCTTAGCAAGATTTTAATAAAATATATTAAAATATATGGTACAGTACGGTACGGTTGGTACATATGCTTTCCCTGGATTTCCCTGGTACGTACAAACTATCAAACTGTGGCACCAAACTGTACCGATAATAAGCACCCAGAAGCTGTCCTGAAGCATCGCAGCCAGGCTCTTTCTTCACCTTCTTGGCGAGGTAGGTGACTATAGCTCCGTCTTCGTCTCCTTTTGGCCGAGTTATGCCGAGTTAATTATATCAGATTACAACCAGGTTACATCAGATTACAGTGGATCAGATTGGGCTCTTTCATGCTGTTTCGAACCCTTTAAACACTTGAGAGGGGGGGACGAAAGGTAGGGGGGGGCAAAAGAGAGCAACAGGAAAAATATTGCCAAACTGAGATTGATACTTCTCTTCACTCAAACCTCCTGCAGAAGAAAATGTTAGCCCCCAAAAAAGCTTTGTGGGAATAGAATCAGAAACATAATGTCTTCAAATGTAAAGTAACTTCACGCGCGCGCGCGCGCGCCGCGCGCGCGCGTGAACCATCCTGCATGCAGGTGCTTCTCCGCGCGCGCGCGCGCGCGAGCGCACGCATGTGCGGGACGTAAACATTGCGAGTCTCTATTCCCCGGCACGGCCTCAATGGGACTAGAACATCCACGATAGATCGATAGATCAATACATCGATAGATAGATAGATAGATAGATAAAACTATAAATAAATAAATAAATAGATGAATAAATAGATAGAGAGATAGAAGCATCGATCGATAAATAGATAGATCGATGGCTACCTTGATCGATAAACAGATAGATAAATAGATAGATCAATAGGTAGATAGATAGATAGATAGATCCAAGGATAGATAGATAAATACATACATAGATGGACAACTAGATAGATAGATATATCGATAGATAGATGGATAAGGAGGTAGGTACAGAGTCAGAGAAAAAGAGAGAGAAAAAAATGCGGACCAGGGGGGAATCGAATGGGGGGGGGAGGGGGGGGCCCCCCCCCCCTAAGTCTCCGTTCGTGACTCTCGGCTTTCAATTTCCGGGAAAGGAGCAGCCACCTCCCCCAGTACTAAACTAGTACTAAAGTACATAGAACTCAGGTAGCCTAGGCTACCTTTCGTGATTTGGAATCATTTGGAATCATTTGGGTATATACATGTGGACCATGTGCATCCATTTAATCCGTAATCATTCTGGCAATCTTGTCATCACAAATTAATATAATTTAATATAATTTATGCATTCTATAGGTACAAGGCCTGGTATTTCCATTCTACAGTAGCCAAATGAGTCAAAATGATTCAAAATGACGGTCGAATACATTTGAATACATTTGAACGCTTTTCAATTTAACTAACTATACGTGACTGAAGGATACTGCAGGTGAATGCAGGTGATGTCTGCATGTGTCTGCTAAAGTGCTAGATCATAATTACATATAATTACATATAATTACATAATAATACATAGTATTACATAATATTACATATAAATACATATAATATCATATAATTACATATAAATAATTATAATTACATATAATTACGTGATCATACCAGGCCATACCAGGCCCATCTCCTTGAACTTTTCCTGGCTTATCATGCGCAGGTTCCACCTTGCATCTCCGTCCTCAGGAAGCACGCTGCAGTCTGCTTGAAATCCAACTTACTGTAAATCTTGGAGAATACTTTGGAGAGAAACAACATAAGAAACATTAAGAAACCATATATGACAACAATCCATAGCAATGCATAGCAACGCAACATCAAGAATTCATCGGTTCATATCAATTCAACATAACTCAGCTGAATCCAAAAGAATTGAATATCCAAAGAAGAGGCTCTTTTGTTTCGTTTCGGACTTGGGGTACTGAAGCTCTCAGGTGGAAACTTTCTGGGTGCTTCTGGCGACTTCAGAATATACTTGCTTTGCATGATGCCATCGTCAAGATCACTCCAAAGCTTCTCGACCCCTTTCAGTTGGCGGGTTTTTTCTGGCGTCTCCAGTCCTCAGCTATCGGGGGGACACAAACAAATTTATTGTATGGCAAATTATATATCTGGATATATTCATGATAATTCATGATATATCTGGATAATTCATGATAATTTATGATAATTCTGAAAATATCTGGAACATTCTGGAACGTATGGGGTTCTCATGGATTCTGTGGGCTCCCATGGATTCTGCGGGCTCCCCACCTATTCAATGGAAAGCGATGGATGGTGAGGATGCATTTTACACTGTTCAGAGGTGGGGCTACCAATTTACAGGGCCATATGTTCAGGATGTACAGGGTCTGATGTCCCAGCTCAAGTTCACTCCCTAAGCTGCAACCATGCCACTGGTCTCTCCTGGCTGTCCTTCCGCAGTGCTGGATAAAGCTTCCTCAGCAGTCATCAACGGAGAAGAGGCATCACGTATTTCATTCTCATTCAAAACCATGCAAGATAATTCAAAATCATTCATCTTACCACTCAAAATGTTCAATCGTATTCAATCATATTCACGTATTTTCATGTATTTTCACCAAATTCATCCAGATTCACTCACCTTTCTCTAGAAAAAAAGTCCCATTACATCAGCTACACAACGGCAATGATAGAGTCGATAGAGTGTCATAT